GACTGTGATACCCCTGATAGGCCGGTGGTGCCCCTGGAAGGTCTTTGGGCCCCCGGGCCTCAAGGGGGGGGCCATGACCCATGTGACCCCCCCCCCCTGGATCCGCCCCTGTAACTCGCGTAAAAAGCGGCCAATCGCGACAAAACGTTCAGTACTCTCGAGTTGATCGATTTTACGCCTACCCTGAGAATTTCATGACCCTGACCCAAATGACCTTTGACCTGTGACCTACTTTCGAGACCATGTTTGCCCGGAATCGCGATTTGGCGTATGTCGGCTGGCATTAGCCGCGCGTTTGCAGTCTTTTCGCGTGGTTTCAAGCGTTCAAACATGAAACATGTATACGACGTTGCCCCTATGCATTAGGATGGGTGTCAACGTCAAGGTCACCTGAAGGGCAGGTCAGGTCATTGACCTTTGGTGACCTCGGTTCACTTTTTCGAGTTTTACATGTTTCTGAGCCAGTTTTTTAAGCTGAATTCGAATTTAGAAACCTTATGAACGTTTACGGAGTAATTTTGGTACCTTCGTAACATCTTACGAAGCTGTCAGAGGCGGTTGACACCTACTACGAATACCCGGCAGAACCCCTACTGGTTGACCTGACCTGACCCGACCTGGCCTAAATGAATGAAGACATCATCTGTGATCAAAACTAGCATGACATTCGTGATTAGCACTCCGAAAAAACCCATAGCAGCCACACTTTACACGACGTTCTAACAGGTCCTGATTTTCCCGACTTTTGAGTCATTCACCTGACCTGGAAGGTCAACCAATGACCTAGGACCTTAAAATTGGGTATCACCGGCTTCCTCTCTTCACGGGCAAGTCGGGGCAACATGCTCGTCTTTTCCGCGAAGCTCTAGTTCGATCAGGGGTGAAATGGCGGGGGGGGGGAGTCCAACGGACCCCCCTGGACCCCCTAAGGGGGGGGGGGGTCCAACGGCCCCCCCCCATTATACGTTCGCGGCTGAAAAAAACAAACAATACGGGCGAGGGTTAACCCGCGCCCCGCTGGGCTATTCAGCCATACGCGCCCTGCTGGGGGGGGGGGGGGGCAGATTCTGCCCCCCCTGTCTAACTTCCGAACCGATGGTCGTAGAAAGACGGGGAAAACGGCAATCGAAAGCTCTCAACAAGGCGGATCTTAAAAGCCCAATTTTTTTGCTTAAGTAGGTCAGAGGTCAGGTCAAGGTCAGGTCAAGGGTACAAAATGCAAGTTTCGACAGCATCGGCCTTGCACCGTAGTTGCCGAAGAATGGACTGAGAATGATTGCCCAAAACGTGTTCTTAGACTACCAAGACAATATTCGTTGCACACAATGTCATTCAAAGGTCAAGGTCAAGGTCAGGTCAGGTCAGGTCAGGTCACCAAAAACAAAATATAGAAAAGAGCATGTGCGACACATGTTTTATGGGTCATTTTACTCATGGAATTCAATAGGCACACTCAATAAGTGATATGGACCACCTCTGGATGAATTTCAGGTCGAGGTCAGGTCAAGGTCAGGTCAAGTTAGGTCAAATTTTGAAGTTGGTTGTTAAGGCCTAAAAAGGTGTCTATCCGATGCAGTTTTTTACGGCGAATCGAATGGGGCTTTTTTTGTGCCCGTATGAGGTCTAGAACTTCCAAAAAAAATCATTTTTCAAAAATTTTGTGTGTCGTGACGTCATAAAATTTTGAATAACTCCCACATTTTTGAACCGATTCTTCTAAAATTTGGTATGTAGGTGCACATAGACCACATCTTTGACATATATTCCGGTTTTTTCGATAAACTCAAAATTTTGGATTTTATAAATATTTTCCCAAAAAAGTCAGTTTTTTTGAAAAATTTTGGCCAAAATCCAAAATTTTCAAAAAAACCGAGATAGCCATTTGATAGACAAAGTAAAATCACGTATAATCTTTTTTGTTACGTCTTGATTCCTTTTAAAATGAAGATGTTAGCGGCGTTTGAAATTTTGCCGTTTTTGAGGCGAAAATGGCGAACATGACGTCACTAAAACGTCAATTTCTCAAAAATTTTCCGACGGATTTCGCTCAAATTTTCAGGGAACGTGTCAAATTGATGTATGATAAGGTACTGAAAGTTTGACGTCGCTGGCGTAACGCGTTTAGAAGTTATTGGCGAAAAACGGGAGGGGGGGGCAGATTCTGCCCCCCCCCCCCAGCGGGGCGCGGGTTAACCACTGAACTCTAATATATACTGGAAGGAGCATTGGTGACTTGTTTTTGTCTATCGATTTCCGCCATGTTGTGTATACCAGACATATAAATTGCATGTACGGTAGCAGAGGTGCAGTTTAGTGAGAGGTACACTACTCAAAAGTGCTGCTGCTTCATGCTTGCAGTTTGATTGCAGTGATCAACTTTTCAAGACTTTGGTATACACAACATGGCGGAAATCGTTAGACATTCTGGCCCATATCCGGCCAAGGCGAGTGCCTCCCCCTGGGGTTAACCCGCGAGTTGCTGGGGGGGGGGCGTTAAACGCCCCCACTTTTTTCGCCGGGCCATAGCATAAAAACGGCGCGCCGCAGGCGCGCCAAATTTTGGGTACCTGTAGGGAATTGATTGAAGTTTATTGTGACAAAGTTTCAAAAAAATCGGTCGGAAAATTTTTGAGATATCGAGGTTTTAGTGACGTCATGATTTCTGAGTTTTCGACCAAAAACGGCATATGTTCAAAAAATCATATAAAATCACAAAATAGACATACAGACATGCCGTAAACGCCATTAGACTGCCAATACCATGGTCAATCAAATGGCTATCTTCGATTATTGATTATCGTTCCGCATTTTCCATAATCTTGAACTGAATCTTGGCAATGTTTCGTGACTACTTCACGACCATGATACATGAATTTCTTAAATTGAACTTTTTGAGCCAAACACGTACACATATGATAAAATGAATGTCACCATCGTGTTCTACGCCACAAATTACCTATAAAACATGTGTCACAGGCTGCGAATATCAGTTTTGATTTTCGGGGATATGTGCCTACCCGGTTGACCTGACCTTGACCCTGACCTATGCTTGACTGACCCCTACATGGAGCTGATACTCTTGTAGGCCTTATAAGATGGATTGTGCACCGTTTTGACAGAGTTTATGGCGAGAGGCGCCCATTGCGAAGTCCTGAAGTCCATGCTACTGAAAGCCCGATTTCAGGTGTTTGACCTGACCTTGACCCGACCTGTGACCTCAAAATTCAACTTTAAAGTACTCATCTGAAGCGTCTCGTCGCGCTCTTTCGTTTGCCGCCTCGTGCGTTTCGCTGCGCCTATTGGTTCTCGAGTTATCGGCTGGGGGCGTTTAACGCCCCCCCCCCCCCCCCAGCAAACGGTGGGTGGCGAAATACCCCAGCAACTGCCGGGTTAAGTTGGCCTCAACCAAATAAAAAACACAACATCGGACTCGCCTGACTATGAAGAACATGATGGTGTCAAAATCGCTGCTCTATATGACCGTTTCTGGCGAAGTTACATTAAGCAACCGAAAAAACGAGCCGTCGAGCCTCCACCGAACTTAAAGGGTTCTTACTTCTTGACCTGACCTCACGGCTCAACAGTTGGTATAAGACCTCAAACTCGGGTACCAATCGCTGCGTCTCGCGAAGGCACACATTCATGTTTTTGCGAGGCTCGAGCCCAATCGGAGTCGAAACGGCTAGGGAAGTTTCACCCCACCCCCTTCTCGGCCGAACCGCAAGGACGCAGACAACTGACAGGTCCGGCGAGGGCTCATCGTGGTAGTCATACGAAACAGACTATAGCACAGGTCGTGAACCAATTGGGACTGAGTCAGACTTTGCAGTCGCACTCAGTTGAAACCGATCGGACCGGATCACTACCTTATTGAGCTTCATCTTCAGTTACTTGCTGCCTTGCGGCCAGTCCCCGAACCAGCAGTTCAACAGTACGCCGGTAGGGTGTATTTCGCCTGCGATGGGGGCCAAATCGTCCTGTGGTCAGATGACGCTTCGTAGCCCGTAGGTAACCAGGGAGTGGACAATCATGGGGTATGTGTCGTTTAATCGGTTATGCTTGTACATGACAAAAAGATCCCTTATTGCCACTGCGCTTTTATCTTCAAATGAAATTAATGTTAATTCATTCGGCGAATATTGAAATAAAAAAAATGAAACACCGTCATCTCCACCCATTAAATCAAAAGAAATGTATGGCAATCATTGGATTGATTAGCTGATGTTTAAAATTCGATATTTCACATATAATTTCACAATTTTTCCAGCACAGCTAGCAAGCGAATGCCGTTAAACGCTTGTCCTCAAGCGTGTCTCTTTTCGCTCAAACTTCCTCGCCGCACATGAATATATTTTGCTGACTGTGAGGTCACGATACGCAGCTACATCAGCACCATATCCTCTACAGCTCAGCTGTCCATACCTACAGCGTACCCATAAAGCTGAGTCGGACCCACTAATGCCTGCGACGAATACGTGAGCTGTTCGAATATTGGAAGACTGTTGGCAACGACGATATCCTGACTACACATCTGTGGGTATACACAACCTCTACACGCAGGCACAGCGACCAATGGTGGCAGAGAAACCATTTATTTCTAACGAGAGTCGACTGACTGACTGGCTCCACCACACCCACTCACACATGTTTGTAAGGTGCGGCATAGTGGTGCCCATGTTGATTTACAGCGGAGTGGGGTCCGACTTTAATTTTTTATTTGTTGTGCTAGAATAAATTTGGTTACATGGTCATGCTTCTCTTGGGTTACCGATTCAGATTGCATACTTCTTAACGGGATCAATGTGAAATTGGACGATGTTAAAAACGCAGCTTAGTGGGGCCCGGGCTGTATGACGTATTAATGACGTCATACATCGGTCCCCACTTCGCTGGGTATGACAATACACACTTATATACATACATATTAGAGCTACGAATTTCATCAAAAGTAGAAGCCAAGGTCACACCCAGCACCTCGATTTTTTATCAAAATACTTTGCAACACTTCATGCTATATATTATCAAATATCAGCCACTCAAGTCAGCATACATGATCAAATGATGATAGGTATTGGATGGCAAGCTAAGGGCAATAAAAACATCACCAGGAGCTGCGTACACCGTATTTCACCACCATAGGCATCTTTGTCACCACACCTTCGCTTCGATGAATATAGGCAATTAACATTAATGTAGGTATGCCTAAACCTTGAACCTGAATCTCGGCTAGCCGCAGTCAACGGTGGCAGAGCGCAAGTGGGCGTGGGGCGGTGGCACCAATGGACGGGCGTCTTGGCGAGCGAGTGGCGGCATCGGTGGCGGTGGACGGCCATCTTGGCGCACGGCAGCAGCGAGCGGCTGTTTTGGTAAGCACTCGTCGGGCAGCTGGACGGGCTCGGAGCTGGCTAGATTCGCCAGCCGGAACTGATGGTCGTCCGACGCCGTCTTCAGCACAACCACAGACAGACTCGCTGTCCAGCGCCTCAGTCTCTCCGTCTGGTATCACACAGGGGTGGGCTGTGTTATAATACAGGCTGGCACAGGGGAGTAGTTAGGTCAAATACCGACTTGACACGAGGGAGGCGGCTGGGTCGAACATCGAGCTGACAAGGGGTGGGGGCTGGGTCAAATACCGACCTGACAAGGAGAGGGGGCTGGGTGAAAGAACAAGCTGACACAGAAGAGAGGCTAGGTCGAACACCGAGATGACACGTGTAAGTAGTTAGGTCAAATACCGACCTGACACGAAGGAGAGGGCTGTTTATTTGTTTGTTTGTTGGGGGTTAGGGGCGCGCCGACTGCAAGGTCATTTTGCGCCCATAACGGAGATTTTAAATGCGTCTTAAGTTACTTACTAATTTATGTTTGATGCTTAGGAAATGAAAGTAACGGGGAAGTTGGCTGCGCGGATAAAGGAAAATAAGCCATCGTTATGGATCCAGCGCGAGTTGTCTGAGATAAAATTTAAGAGAGTCACTGTGGGCACAGGATGCCCGAGGTGGTGTGACCGCATCCGGGAGAGCCGGCGGCACGTCAGTCAGCAGAACATGGGCCACTGCGAGTTGCTCCCCACAGTGGATACATGAAGGGGGCTGGGGCGAATACCGAGCTTTCAACGCAAAGGTTGTTACTCGACAGCCGAACAGAGAATGCTGGAGAGTCAGTCACCACAGGAGTCAAAACAGAAGGGAACTGATATTATAGTTCGTTTTTTTTTAGTTCGACCCTCACTGTATTTTGAACAGAGCACGAGAATCGCTTACTGAATTACTGAAAAACTAGTTGGCGCACACTTATTTCATAGACGATCAACTTCATCTAAAATGATTCCTAACTGGCGCCCATTTCCTGCAGATTTACAGCTCGTATTCACCCATATTTAAAACTCAAAAGTGATAGATAACTTGTCTAGAATTATAACCGAATCAATTATTAAATCGCAAGACATTTGACATAACGCTATACCATCACGGGCGTCGCCAACGGGGGAGCCAGCAGGGGCCGGGCACCCCAACTTTGCTTGATTTGGGAGAGGGGGGCTGGCACTCACAACTTTTTTGTTCTGGGCCTCGTTTCATAAAGCTCTGCCGTAGCTTACACTTTTCCATAATTAACGCCCTTCAAACTACGGAGCGCAATAGAAGCGGTTACCAGTGTCTAAAACTTTCTAATTTAGAAGAGAATCTAAATTAATTTATTAACGACATGACGCAATTAACCACATTGCATCATGTCGCATATCATTCGTTTCGGCTGATTACAAAGAACACAATAACGCCTTTTTGAAGCTCTAGCCTCATTGTGTGCTAAATTATTAGCAAAAACGTAGTTTGACCTTATTTGACCTCAGACGACCCGACCGGTGTTTTTTTTTTTTTTTAGCAAACAAACACCAATTTCATCCTCAATTGAGCTAAACCGAGGGATTACAATACAAAAACGCTAAAATGGAGCATATTTTTTACAATTGGAGCTATTAGGACAAACTTTCTTAAAAAATTGTCGTGACCTCTAGATGACCTAAAGTCAACCGAACTTCACAAACCTGGATGTACGTTATACAACTCGGTAAGCTGTGCATACCCTGCCAGTTTGAATCAAATTGATGGACAACTCGAGATTTCATTGACAAAAAAACGTATTTTCAGTGCCATTTTGACCATGTACCTACCGGTTTTTGTGACCTTGTGACCTGACCTGAAGCCACTGGAACACAAAACTCCCAGGACACGTGTCAAATGGCTGCTCCAAGTTGAGTTTGAAATTTGGTGGCGCTAAGTCCTGCGGTTCTTACGCTATGAACGATAAACTTAGCGATACCGTTGCCGCTTATATAGTCAAATTTTACCCTGCATTGTACCGGTTTCGGTGACCTGGTGACCTGACCTAAAATGATAGACCTGAAATTATCAGGGAAGGTGCGAAAAGGTTGCCTCAGACGGCATGCAAAATTTAGCAGCGCAACGCGCTGCCGTTTTTATGTTGTTCGCGAAAAACACTAGGGGGTTGCATCAACCCAATTGGTTCAAACCCATTGGCTGTACGCAGCAGGCTGATTGGCTGACGCTTAACTGGCTGCATTCTAAGGTACCTATTTCTTCAATTGAGGCACACTTTCCTCATAAAGGCTTTTTTCAGGACGAGAAATGGAATCTCTTTGCCTAGGGTGATCGTTGGGGCGTAAAAGCTCCTGATTTGTGCTTTTCTCAGCTCAAGCTATGGAACTGCTATTCCAGTCGAAACCCCATGTTAAAAGTGAAGCATTTTCTTTAATGACCAGTAATTTGAAAAAAAATAGGTGTATAAAAACTTTTGGGACACCCTGTAAGTACCCAACGTCGCTGGCGGTACATGGTACGGTACACAATTGTCGCACAACTGCTATACGAGGCTCGAGATTTCCCCACTAGCCCCACAACAGATGCACCAACTATCAGCCGAGCCATTTCAACATATACATCTGGGCGAACATGACCTAGCTTCCTTCGGTACCCTCCCCCCTCCCCCCCCCCCCCCACACAGTACCCACCTGTTGAGCATCATCAGCTGAGATGTGGATCAGCGGTAGCTATGTCCGCAGGTGCGTAGCTCCGGGGCCACTTCCGCCGCCAGCTGTTGATGTCGTTGTTGCTGTGTCCCCACAGCTACCGCCGTAGCCAATACAAGCCTCTTGCGGGCCTCGTAGCCGGCGGCTAAGGTCACCACCACGTCGTCGCGCTTGACATCGAGGGCCGCGCCGACGATGTTCCATAGCGCACACAGCCGAGGGCCGTAAAAGCACGGACACTCCGGCAACACGTGCGCTTAGGTGTCCACTGCTTCACCGCAGACCAGGCAGCGGCCAGCTTGGCATTCATTGTCGTTACATTAGGCGAACTCGGACATTGATCTCCTCTCAATCCGGTGAAGATACTGCTCCGATCATCCCCAGTGGCCCGACCAGAGCTGATGAGTGTCAACAGCCTCCTCCCTGGTAGCGGCTCGGACCAGCGGTCCCCTATAACGATGCAGTACCAGCCAGTTGGACAGTCTGCTTGCCACCTCTCCCTGGTGGACCGCGCGACAACTCGCGGACGGACGTGAGAGTACGGACATCGACCTGGGATTGTCTGCTGGAACAGGCCAAACAAAATCATCATTATTGGTCAGAGGGTTGACTTCGCAGCCGAAAAAAGGCGATGTACGTAGTCAGAACGGCGTCCTCACGGGATAGAATACAATCTGTCGCTGAGTGAAGGGCACCGCAACAGGACGGAGGTGAAACTTGGTAAAATAGTGACACAAAATGTGTTTGTGTGAAGTGAGTTGTGGGAGAGGGATGCATCGTTGGAAGACACCAGTGAGAGACACCGGGCTCCGGCGGCGCACGGCGGCCCGGCCAAGCACACATCGTACACGAGGCAGCGTGGGTCGTCCTCGCACGGCGCAGCTAGCCGAGCCGTGCGAGGACGCCGTCGCTTGCAGTCGCACAAGAAGCCACCCACAAAAAGTGCATGTGATGTTACTTCCAGGTAGCACATGTGGTCAAATTATAAGTTCGCTTTGGTGCTAAGACCTTTGCTTGCGTTATTTTCAATCCAATCATGAATGGTATCTATTAATAAGATCTGATGACAAGTAGTATTGTCATGGGATAAACAATGGGAACTATTTTTAATTATATTATTTTAGAATGGCTACACGTGTTTCGACAAAAAATATTTTTCAAGCCTTAATATCCAAATGACATTATTTAAAACATTGACCTAAATACACATCATGCAAGTCAATAAAGTGACATAACTGATAGTAACTTCCTTCGAAGAAACATGTCGCATTCTACAGGGTCTTTCATAATGAATGTTACTTTTGAAAGAGCTATTTCTCAGGACATATATGTTCCTCATGTAATATGTACCATCACATGGAACAGAAACACATTAGCGTTTTTGCACACACAACTTTCATTTTAATGCTCCTCAGGAATTTTCCACTGTATCGCCCTTAATTAAGGCACAGGTTTCGGCCCTCTGACGAAGGTGTCGCACCCCGCGCCTCACAACGTCTGGGTCCGGGCTTCCAGCAAACCTCTCCATTGTGGTTCGCAGTGGATGGCTGCAGGAGGGTTTTGTCTAAGATCTGCCAATGCGACTCCCCAAAACCAGTAGTCCAGCGGGGAGAGGTCAGGACTCCGCGGTGGCCATGGTCGCTCGGTGAGGTGGCTGATAACGCGCTCTTCGAAATTTTCGATCAGCCACTGGCGCAACAGCTGCCGTGGTGCGCACTGTGGCACCATCCTGCTGGAACCACAGGCCGTCTCTTTGAACCTTGTTCCTGACCTGAGGCAGAAGCATTCCTTGAGCAGCCTGAGGTAAGCCACCCCGTTCAGTGTTGACGCAGGGGAGAGCCAATGGATGAAGACTTGTCCGTCGACCGTAATCCGTAATGCGTTTTAGTGGTGTCGACATACTCTGCTTTTCCGTGAAGAAAAATTGGCGTGAATTTTTTATTTTTGGGACAAAACCCTAATCAATTTGCAACAATACGCATATAAAATTCACGCGAAAGTGATAAATTAAGACCTCCTAACTAAATATTCAAAAGTAACATTCATTATGAAAGACCCTGTATGTCGCACCCCTGTACGCCAGATCCCTTTCAAGTAGCTGAGCCGCGTACCTACTGAGTTTCACTTTACTAACACTGCCGTTCAAAGTTGAAAGTGTAGAAATGAATGCTGCCTCTAAATCCTGTCTATGTTTCTTTTGGAACTCTTTACACAAAATTGAAGCTCCGTTCCAGTCTGGAAGGTGACCTGCCACGTCGACATGTTGTACAAAATACAAATGCATTAGACAGTCTATGATGCCTAAGATCGCTCTTGTGCTCTTTTGTCCGCGTATCTTTGCCTCTAAATGTTTCACCTATGTAACTTTTATCGCATGCACCACACGGAATTTTGTAAATCACACTGCCCTGGTTCTCGGTGGCTTTCTTCTTTCTTGACTGAACGAGGTTCTTGACTGTCAGACCGACTGCAGATGAAATATTGAATGATCCTTCCACAAATCTTCCTATAACTTCAGCTTCCTTTGACGCCAGTATCAAGAGGTAGTTATTTTTGTCGTTTCTTTCTCCCAGTGACGTACCCAAGGGGGGGGGGGCACGGGGGCCAAGGCCCCCCCCCCCTGAGCGCCGAAGGCGCTCAGGGGGCCCCTCAGGACCCAGGATATTTTTCTAAACACTGGATAAAACGTCTTTTACTCGGAAGAAAAATTGATATTAAAGTTTCATTTATGTGTCCTGGGTACCCGAGGGGCCCCTGCAGTCATCCAAGGGCCCACAGTTTCCTGGGCCCCTGGTCGCCTAGGGGGCCTCTGGTAGCCGGGGGCATGGTCTCATGGGGGCCCCTGATAGCCTGTGGCCCCTAGTCGCCTAGGGGGCCCTGGTCGCATGGGGGCCTCTGGTCGCATGAGGCCCCTGATCGACTGGGGGCCCCTAGTTGCCTAGGGGGCCCTGATAGCCCGGGGCCTGGTCGTATGGGCCCCTGATAGTCTGTGGCCCCTAGTCGCCTAGGGGGCCCTAGTCGCATGGGGGCCTCTGGTTGCATGATATTGAGGCCCCTGATCGCCTGGGGGTACCTAGTCGCCCAGGGGGCCCCTGGTAGCCTGGGGCCCCCGGTCGCCCCTAGTCGCCTGGGGGACCCTGGTCGCCTTGGGCCCCTGGTAGCCTGGGATCCCCTGGTCGCCTGGGGGCCCCTGATCGCCTGAGGGCCGCTGGTCACCTAGAGGGCCCCTGGTCGCCTGGGGGCCCCTGGTAGCCGGGGGCCTGGTCGCATGGGGCCCCCTGGTCCCATGGGGGCCCCCTGGTCGCATGGGGGCCCCCTGGTCGCATGGGGGCCCCCTGGTCGCCTGGGGGCCCCTGATCGCTTTGGGGACCTGATCGCATTGGCCCTTGGTCGCCTGGAGCAGTGGGGCCCCTAGTCATCTGGAAGACCTGGTCGCCTGGGAACCCCTGGTCGACTGGGGGCCCCTGGTCGTCTGAAAGTACGCTTATCACCTGATTGATCCCAAATCATCTGAGTGGCTACTGGCTACTGGATATAAGTAGTGACTGGAGTAGGCACTCATCTGAAGGAGCCAATATCTTTCACGGTGCCGGAGATATCACAGAAAAACAAAAAGGCTAAACTGAATACCCCCCAACCTTGGCCCCAAAGGCGTCATTGGCTAACACAGGGATGTGGGTCGATTTGCATTCGCATTTCCTCCTAAGTCCTATTCCTCCAATTAATTACAGAGTGTCCCAGAATTACCCAAACATTTATTGTCTGGCTAAAAGTACCTACAATTGCGCTCGATTCCTAGTGAAACATATAATAGCCGCGTTTACATAGGGCTAGTTGCCAGATAGTGGAATTCCGATAACGAGACATTTATTCCCCACTATTATATTATATACCTACATATCCGGAATTGGAGGATGTTCAGTAATTGAGGCGCTCGCTCATAAAATGCCGTGCGTTTCATGCACACTCCTCAAGCAAAAATATTTTTACTTTCCAATTTTCCACATTTTCTCAAGGCTTAGACCGTTACAGAGACCGTTTTAATTGACTTTGATGAAGTTGAACGCGAGAAATCACAACCAAATGCTGCATTAGGTTGTAAAGAACTGAATTGCGTTTTCCCACACACGTGGCGTTTTCTCACCTACGTCTGCAGGAGAGACCGGACCCACTATGCCCCCCCCCCCCCACCATCGAAAGGTTCTTCATGACTCCCGGGGGCCCCCGGGGAACCTGGGGGCCCTATACACTGTGGGGGGCCCCTTCGAAAGCAGGTGGCCCCCTCCTGGGCGAAATCCTGGGTACGTGCCTGCTTTCTCCTGCCCTTCTTCGAATTTTGATCGCCTTCTATTCTAAACCGCAAAGATCTCAAAGACAAGAAGCTCGCAAGTTTTGATGTCAAGGCGTTGTTTACCAACGTGCCTATAGCTGGGGCGACTCAAGGGCACTGGACCAGAACCCAGACATCATTCTGCCAGTGCCCAAAGCTGATTCCATTCGGCTAGTACGTCTCTGTGTGGAGTTCGGCGCCCTAGAGTTCGAAGGCGCTGAATTCAAGCAGATTGACGGACTGGCGATGGGGTCACCTTTGAACCCGGTACTCGCCTGCATATTTAGGAAATATTAGAAGCAGATCACTTTCTACGCATAGCCGGAACCGATACTACCTGGTTCCGGTATGTCGACGACATCTTGATCATCACAAACAACGACAAGGATTTGATGTCTTTGCTTGGCCAGATCAACAACGTTCACCCAAAGATACAATTTACCTGCGAAGAGGAAGATAACGGTACGCTAGCATTTTTGGACACGCGTATCTGGAACCGTAGTAAAAAGGCGGCGTTCTCAGTTCACAGAAAGCCGACCAACAAAAAATGACCTAATTCACTCAGCCCACAGAAGCCGAACGAAAACAGAAGTGGTAATTGGGCTTCTATCTACGGGCCTTTCGTATTTGCTCTTAACAGTTTATAGAACAAGAAAGTATTTATTAAGCTCAAGTACCACCAGGCCTCCTATATAGTTTAGAGAAGAAAGTGATAAAAATTCGAAGAAGGGCAAGAGAAAGAAGAAACGGCAAAAAGAACTACCTCTCGGTACCGGCATCAAAGGAAGCTGAAGTTATAGGAAGATTTGTGAAATGATCATTCAATATTTCATCTCCAGCCGGTCTGCCGACCAAGAACCTAGTTCAGTCAAGAAAGAAGAAAGCCACCGAGAGCTAGGGCAGTGTGATTTACAAATTCCGTGTGGTGCATGCGATAAAAGTTTCATAGGTGAAACATTTAGAGGCATAGATGGCACAAGAGCGATCTTAGGCATCATAGATTGTCTAATGCATTTGTACAGCATCAGGCACATACCCATGATTTTGCCCAGAAGGGGCCACCTGCTCTCAAAGGGCCCACTGGTCATCCGGGGGACCCCTGCCAACTCAGACAGGGGCAGTGGCGGCGGAACACCTTCAATTAAGGGGGGGGGGGGGCACTGCCGACTTTTGGTTCCATTCTTTCCATGCAACGCCCACAGGGCTAACGTTAAAATGCCATAATCAAGGGG